TGCAGTTAACATATATTTAATTAGAATTAAATATTAAAAATGATTTGGAAAACAAAAATTCGTAAAATAAATATACCTAAAGGAAAATATATATTTAAAAATTTATTGTTCTGCCATTTTTGATGCTTTAAAAATGTTTTAAATTTTTTCTTCTCTTAAAAAAAGCTTTTTTCCGATTTTTTGAAGTTTTTTTAATAGCATCATCAAAATTAATATTTTCGCTCTGCATTTTCAATGGAAAGTTCACTGTTGATCGAAGACAACTCATAATCAACCGTAACTTTGGAAGCTTCTCTCTCAAAAAGCAACTGAAACATGCATATTCACAAAGCCTACAGACCGTTCTTCTACCGTTTGCTCCGATTGGTTAAAACGGGAAAACGTAGGGTAACAGAATCTGGTCGCTTGTCGAATTTTCTATTTGTTTATGAGCGTGGTGTACCGAAAAGCGTTGCAATAGAAATAACGCATAATGGAATAAAATAGAATTTTAGTTAAACTTACTCATAATTTAAGTAAAAAGAATAGGTATCCGGCGCCCTTTAATGTTTATTGAATGTTTTCATTTGTTTTATTTTTTAATATTCCTTTATTTGTATAACTTAATTCGCTATGGAAACTTACGCAACAGACCCTTTCTAACAAAAATGACGAAAAGGTTCATATGCAATTTCCATGTAAACAGTTTTCTTGCAAAACAATTACCGTACTTTTAACAGTTTAAATTCATTCTTTAACCAAATACAAATAAACTATTAATAAGATCAGTAGGTTATTTAAAATATTTACCACACAATTCTCCTTAGCTTCCATTCATTAAAAAAATAACTAATGAAATAAACGCTGTTTTTCCTCGCTTTACTGAAAGCCCACAAGGTATGTTTGGCGTTCGTTATAATGCCTACAAGGCGATAACATACCATTCCAAATACGACCGCCAAGCAGATGTTTCATCCACTGACAGAAGACCGCATAGAAAAGGACTGTAGGCATTGTGAATATGCCTGAAGGATACATTGCCAAATATAAAGTTAAGCACTGATTCTTGAAAGTCCATTTCTGCAATAAACTTTAACATTTTCTACTGACCACTTTTTAGCTTTGTCATTTTTTATCTTCGTACATGTATGTAATAAAGAAAACTTAGTAGTAATACTATTGTAAAAGCAGTTGATGGCGCATATGTAGAAATATGCTTTTTTGTAGGTGTTGATACGTAATGAACAGCAAGCTTGGCAACCGAGCCAGATTAAATCATCTTTATTTCGTTAAGCATTTTGCGGCGGCAAACAAATCGGCACACTACTCGTGCCTTTTCAAGAACATTTACATTTTGGATAGCTTTGAGGTAAAAAGAGAAGCACAAGCAGCAGTCTATCTACGCCTAAGTGTAGAACGCAAAAGCCTTCCGCTCAGGATGAAATCTTGATTCTGAATGACTTAGTTTCGGATTGAACTGCATTTGATTGGATAATTAATAATGCTGTAAAATTATTATTGGCTGTTTTAGTTCTATTTTCGTTACAATCGTTATGTAAGAGTCACATGACATAGATCAGTCTCAGAATGATGTAGTGAAGAAAAAGGTATTACTATTTTTAGAGTACAGAGGGAAAAAATCCAAACTAAAATTAAGCATTAAGAGGCTATTGCTACTTTAAATTATAATTTATATTTGTATATATTTTTATCTTTTTTATGTGTTTTTTTATGTTTTTTTTTTCTATGTGTGTGTAATTAAAAACTTAAGGTTCTTCGTAACCCCCCTCCGATAGCAGGCTCAGAACGACCCGCGCCACTTCCCTTCGTATGCCCCTGCCTACATGTATCACGATTGGTGTGATTTTCAATTTTTCATATTTTATATTGTAAAAACAATCCTCTGCATATGTAATGATTTGTATGTCAATGATTAAATATTAAATGTTTAAATATGTTGCATCGACTCATACATGATAAAAATAACGTCGTTTTTCCATAAGTGGTAAAAGTGAGTACTTTATTTGATGAACAGCAGTTTCAAGACTATGCGACACTGAACGAACCTTATTCCATCAAAATATATTAATTAAACAAGGAGGTTTCATGGATATTCTTGCCTATGAAAGATGTAAAAACAGTATGTATTCCACAAATATTTGTGTATCCAGAGGTCAAAAGCACATTTCTAGAATTCGTACAACAGCTGTCTAATCTCATGCATTATTTCTCCCTGGTGTTTGAAGTCTGGTTTGGTTAAGTTTATTTGATTATAGCAAAGTTCACGAGGGCTATCTCCCTAAAGGTAGGGATACTTTCCTGCAGGACTTTCTAGGGAAAACTGCCTCGTATTCACTGGGAAAACAACCGAAATGCCTATGCAGCCATCCCGTTCGACTGGAATTGAACCCAAGACAAACTACCACTGTTTAGCGACTTTGCCCTCTGGTCCGCTGATGGGCCGGCTTCGTTTCAGTATTCTTTGCTACTACTTCGGTGCAATATATCCTCGTCAAAGGATTGTCAAGCGCTTCACTAAATATATAGTGCCATCAGGAGGAATTTATCTGCCACGTGTTTGAAATTATCTTTCAAGCGGTACAGATGTGTTCTTTTTCTTATCCCTGTGATTTTGTGCTATGCTGAGTTAATGCGTTTTTTCGTTTTACTATTGCTAAGTTAAGCTATTTAATTTTGTTAACTATCGTGGTATCGTTAATTTGTGTCACTAAATGACACTAAAATTCCAACTTTTGGTGTAATTCCTTTAATAATTAAATACAATTTCTACGTTCTTTCGCTTGGGCTTAAGTGATTGCCGGCGTAAACCAACTCATCATATGTACTGTCTTTTTTAAGAAGTTCAATTTACTCGTAGATATAAAAAATAATTGCTTAATCAATGGTTACACCAAACTAACATCGGATGTCAGAACTCCTAGTTATAATCCACATAGCACTAACATTATTCACATTCTATTGGGTGATTGAAAATTTGATAAAATAATTGCTGATTACATTAACTTAGCAGCTGTCACATTCTTTTATAAGGAGATTTTATTTACCTTCGGCTTAAGTAACGCCGTATACATTAAAAAAGTTCTGAACTTCATCCAGCTTCTAGAATCAGCACATTTTTTTTGTGTTGCCAATCCTAGAAAGCTAATATTAAAATTGAATTATTATCACTGAAAAATGAAAATACTAGATGGCTTACATAACAGCTACGAAACATTCTTAAAAAGAAATTATTTCAAATAGTATTAAAATTTCGGGGATGTTACAACAGCTTCCGTGCAGAAAATCTGAAGTAGTTTGTAGATAACCCAGTACCTTATTTAAGTCATGTTACATGACATATGTATACTGCGCAAAAAAAAGGGGGGGTGGGGAGACAGTTCTCTATCTCCCGTTCTACTGGGCCAATTCACGAAATTCAAATTGCGTTTTTTATATCTCGAAAGCGCTACTTAGGATACGTATTCAATTTATATATAGTACCATTCTAACATAGGTATTTTTACTCCAAATTTCTATGCCTGTTTCCACAATTTCATGCGACATATCTCTTTATATGGCTTTATAGGTCTCACATAATTTTCTTTTAAGTATTCTGCAGTACATTTTAAGGTCTGAAAATATTCGGAATATTTTCCAGTATAAATTAACGATATTTTTTAGTTCGCTTTATGTCATTTTGACTTACGAAAGGTAATTTAAGAAAGGAGCGTTATACTTTAGTAAAAGAGGTGAAACCTGTATTACCATTATTTCAGAAGAGTTGTATTAAAAAACCGAAGACATTTACCGAAACAAAATTATATTAATTTTTAATTCCTTTGCATATTCTTTCGCATTTCTTAAATCGCTATATGCACGAGCTGATGTACACAAAATCTTGTGTTTTAACTTATTAATATTTTTATATTGAATAATATTTCTTTGTTTATTCGGTAGCCTAAACATAGAAGCTTTAAAAATTAATATAAATGGTACTGTGTAAATTATTTTTTGCACAAATGCTTTAATCATTATCCTTCAGGTCCTACTTAACAGACAAGTAAATAATCGAGCGAGTATCTGTATTAAGAGGACAGTCCTACGAAGGTAAAATACCCTTTTATTAATTCGCTAAATTTCATAGAAAGCACCAATGGTGCTCTAAGATAAAAACTCCGTCAGTTGCGGGTAATTAAAATAACATTAAAGTTTAAAACATGAAATAAAATTTATACATAAAATAACATTAAAATAACATTTAAGTTTAAATTGAACTAACGTAGTCGGAAATTACACACAAAATAGTTTACTTAAGCAGGCACGAGTCATTGACAGTTCACTTATAGGGTCAGCGTGTAAAATTTCACAAAGACGTAGTAAATTAAGCCTAGCTAACGCTAGAACGTAAAGTGCGAGCGAGATTGCCAAAAGCTTTAACCTAAAGCATTCAAATCGTCGGCTTAAATAAACACAGCTACCTGTAATTTGCATTCTGATGAGGACTACAAAAAGAAGAAGTAATAGCAAAGTTCCAAATCATAATAATTGGTTAATCAACATAAAATCCTACAACTTTCGATAAAATTTTAAAACACAAAACTATCAACAATAATTTATGCAGCCTTTTACTAATCGATAAGGCCGTATATATATATGGCGTAGAATAAGTTTTGTGTTAGCTATAAGAACGTATATATAAATACATCTAAAAATATATCCAAGAAATTAAGGCTGTGTATTAAAAGTACATAAATCCAGAAATAAGTACGGGGATATCAGGAATACTCATTGTCATGGCAGTTTTGGGAAATCTGGGCTTTCTTAGAGAAACCCTGTGCTGATTAGAAGGTTAAAACTTACAAATTTGCATTATGGTACCCTGTACGAAACATTAACCTATTAAATGCACATATAAATAAAATGAATTTTTAAGTCTGGTGCTACGAATATTTTTTAGCTTTAGCTTAAGTTAAAATATTTATTTTGTGCGTAAATTTAATAGGTGACAAACAAACACTTACATATAGTCAAACATCCTGTTATTGGATTTCTAGCACAGTAATGAGATGTTTATCTAAAATAATTTTGATGGAGGAATGTATTTTATTTATGCCTATTTGAAACTAAAGATTGATAAGCATTTATCGACAAAACTATTCATTCTCAGATTAGATAATTCTGGGAATAAAGGCATCTGTGAAAAGAAACGTTAGTTAAAACGAAACTACCCTGACTAATACGACACAAGACACACTTGTATTTAGCAAATTTATTTCTTACATTTAAATAAAATTAATAAATGCAGACAAAGTACCAAATTAAAGTATTAGTTTATTAGCTAAAAATGTAAAAAATAACAATTCACAACATTGGTCTACTGATTTCAATAAATCATCCATTACCTGAAAATTCTGTGGACAACATTCCGTAGTTTCTATCATTTCAAAAAAACTGCGATTAAAGATTTGAAGATTCCGTAAGGCAGAGGAGAGCATTTCTGGTTCCTTTTCCATTGACATTTATGAAGAGCATTCAATACGTAATACAATAATAACAGTATCAGTAAACTTCAGCAATAGCAACATTTAAGATAGGTAACGAAAATAATAATGAAACATCAGGTAATTAACACGTATAAAAGAAGTCAAGAAAAGACTTCACAAGATGCTTAAAGCTCCAGCCCCAAAATGGAGTTTCCACGTGGTTGCTTAAAACCCTAGCCCTAAAATGGGGGTATCCACGAGGTTGCTTAAAATTTCTGCACCATAAATGCTATGTGCATAGCTCTACACTGGGCCTCCGTATGAAGCATTTACATCCCATCTAATTTTCAGAACGTAGTACAAACACCATTTATTCTAAGCATCAGTTGGGATACGGAAAAATGCCCACAGGTGATAGGATTTTCGCCATTACATCCAGTCACGCAGCACGAAAGTGCAATATTTCACGCAAACGAATCTAGAATAAAGCATACATTTGTACGAACCTAAATATTTGAAATGCTAATTTCTGATTCCACAAAGAGGAGCGAAATATTGCCCCGTCAAAATCTCTTAGTAAAGTAACTCCAATGGCTGGCACAATAATTTGCAGGATACATTAATAAATTTGCAGGATTAGTTTCGAAAGTTTGAATGTAATTTAGGTATGATTCCTTTAGCTAAAAACGAATATTCTATATTCAGACCTTCGAAACTGATTCTACAAATTTATGAAAATTGCCACGGATTCTTGTTACCTGAACATCTCCAACAATTTCTCGTAGCTCCTTTTATTAATCTCACAGTTATACCGCCTGTGTAATGGCAGAAAGAATCTCCGAATCTTGCAGGAGTAACAGAAACAAAGCTTTGAATAATATGTAAACTACTGAAATATAAGATTACAAAATGAGACTCAACTTACACGAGCAGTTTCAGCTAGCCAGACTAAAGCCGATACAAGGACCACAGTGGTCAACGATAGCTGATGTAAGCTCACTATCTAACTCAAGAACTCTGTGCTTTAAATACATTAATTATTTTGGTTCCTGGTAAAAGCCGACGAAAGCAGAAGTGACAGTGAAGACAGATTGATAGAATACCTTGTTCATAAACATAAAACCTTACAATAGCCCTCACCAAAAAATTAAACAATTCGAAAAAAGTGTTGGTAGAGAATTTTTAATTATAAGATTCGGACTGAGATAAAACTTTCGCAAAGCTATCAAATGTGTAGTCGATATTTACTATTTCTGAGATTGGATTTACAATCTAAATCCTTACAGTCTAGGTGCGATATTTCCACTCTTCACCCAGCTTTTCTGGAAGAAAATATAGTTCAGTACAATATATAACGACTTCAGTACAGTATATAAGTGGTGTAAAGTTTAATTTAATACTTGACTTTACTTGCTTGTTTCTCAAAAAACTTCATTTGTATTTTTCTTTTAGAACTTTAATTCTTAAATGCTAATTTCTAAGGGTTCCACTTTATTGGTATTTCTTTTTGGACATTCTTCATATTTTACTTTTGGTTTTGACTTTTACCCTTGCCTGCATGAATGACGAAACACGAATTGAATGATTGGAGAGTTAGGTTTGGAGGCAACTTCCCCTTGATAAGTCTGTCTCCTGCCTGCTCAACGTTCATTACTTATGCATTTTTAAAAAAATTGTTTGGATTAATTTTAATTTGCTAAATTAGTGAATTTTTTTCATGGATTGGTTTTGCACTTGATTTGCTTGTGCTTCTGAATTTAAATGATATTGTAGATTAGTTCGAGAATTAAATCTTTTATATGTTTACACATTTTTTTAAATATTTTTTTTAAAATTTTTTTTGGCTTTAAATTTGCTTTTTTAATTTTGGCTTTAAATTTGCTTTTTTACTTTTATACGTGTTTGTTAAAATTAAAATTTAAATTTGTTTAAATTTGTAGTAATCATGTATTTTAGGTAAATATGGTGCTTATAGTTTTAGAGGTATAGAGATGTAGACTGGACTTATGCGTGTTTTTTTAATATTCGTGTGTTTGCATATCATTACTTTGACAAAATACATAAGTGAATGGCGGGAAGGTAAATCGAAACTAATATATTATTCAAACTAAAGCATTTCAAGAATGAACCCTGAATTATTAAACGCATGACACAGGGAAGAATGACATTGATTAAAAACATTGGAAAAATTATGAAGCGAGAATAAGCAATAAATTTAATGTTTGTAAATCCTAAAATAATAGTTTTATTCATGCACAAAGATGTACATTTTTACCAATTTTCGACAAAATTTAACTTTATCAAGCGTATATTACTATTACCCTTGAAATCAACATTTACAATACGTATCTTAAAATAGTCCATATTACACGTTATGAAGGGGAAAAGATGAATTGGTTTACTAATTGGTTTGTCTACTAGGAAGGCTTCTAAAAGGAAATTCAACATAGAAAACCTCATAAATAAAAAACAGCTTATTTTCCTTTGCGCTGCTTCCTAAAGAGCATTCAAATCGTGGGTCAACCTCTGGAAAGTTTCTATCATCGAATTGAAGAAAGTTATAAAGTTCTACATTCTCCGCTGAAGCCTGAATAGATGCCACTTGTCCTTGTCTGAACACTATCCTTCTCTGGAAAGTAAACTGGACTTCTGTAGAACCTGTGATTTTCAATACTTCTTTACACCGAAAATTGGTAGGTTGAATTGCAACCATTACTGTCAAAGGGTTTATGAGACTAAACTTTGTCACAGGTTCTTGAAAAAGCAATGTCAATCCAATAATCTGGAATTTACCACCTTTGCATTTAATTTCTAAAGTACACTTCAGATTGGACAAGGGCTTCTTCTGTTGAAGAGGTGCCAGTCTAATTGTGAGTTTCTTCAGCCCAGAAGGTGTTTTTCTATCTAGGAAAAGAAACCATTAAATTAATCAATGTAAGTAAATTGCTTCCTGAAAATTTCAAATTATACCCCATTAATTTGACAGTATTAACCAATAAAACTATTATCATTAACTACTACGACACTTTGCCATTAATAAGATAAAAAGAAATATATATTTTTATAAAATTAAATCTTTATATTTTAATCATAATAAAACTTTAAAAATATATTTTGTAAACTTTTAAAATCTAAACTTATGCCAGGGAATGTGAAGTACGAGCCACGCATCTGACCTTATGCATTTGTTATAGATTTACATATTATTCTTGCTTAACTTCAACCACGTTGAACATATAACGATTTCATATTCATTTTTACGTCAAAATTATTCTCTGCCTGAAATAAAAAATGTATCAACAAAGTGTACACGACTGCTTGTTATCAAAAGAAAAGGTCAAGGAACCACTCTTCATCTCCTACTTAGATAATGTAATTTCAAAATTATTACTATACACACTCACAAATATGTAAATAATAATATGGTACAACTAATATATAACTATATGGTACAACTAATATATAACCATATGGTACAACAAATATATAACCATATGGATAAAACACATCGCTCAATAATAAGTCTAACTTTAAGGCTACAGTTTACGAACAGTTCAGCCTTTTCAGCAAAAAAACACAAATAACAACCAGAAGAGAAAGCAAGAAAGTTAAAACATCCTATAAATTCTTCTCTCTATCTTATCTTTTATCAGCCTAATTTTAAGAAGGATATTATTGACAACCTTTATACATTTCATCACAAACATCTGCTCATCGTTCAATATTTCATGAACAATAAGTTTAGGAATATCATAATCAAAGATTTAGTACTATATTCTATAAAATTTTAATTTTACTGCAATTCAGCTAAAATATAAAAGAATTTCCTGTACTATCAACTTTCTTCGTAAACGTTTTGACGATCTCAACCTTCATAACCTCTTTCAGCAAATTCAACAGAAATTTCCAGGATTAGAATTTGAAACAATAGTCTGCTTTAAGTATAACAAAAACTAATTACATTATCAATTACCATTAAGAAGATTTTTCTGCACCCTGATATTGTAATGAAAAGAAATTTCTACCATATGTTGATAAACAACATAAACATATAATTACAGGAAATCTAGACATACTAGAGGGTCAATAATTAAAGAAGCTCCTGAAAAAAGTACAAAATTTAGACCAGTAAAATACATTCCTAAACTCAATTGTTTCGAAAGTATTTCAGTAGATATTGATAATTTCATACTGAAAGCAAGTATTCTGCGAAGTTTACCATTTAAAGAATGGAAAAAGGAAATATTAGATCAAAGCAAAAAGAATATAAATAAATGTCAAGAGTGAGAAAAGTTCTATAATTCTCTTATTGAAAAGTAGCTCCATAATTCTGCAACCTATTGTATTTCCGAAAGTAAAGAAAGGTCAACAATCAACAAAATTATTGACTTTATTATTGACATTAAAAAGTGGAAAACTTCTCTTTTTTACTGTAAAGAATAAAGTTACCAATTTATATGCGATTCCAAATTTCATAATAATCCTATCAAATTTAGACTTATTGCAAATAGTGCTAGAAGCTTTGAGAATAATTTTGATAATATTCTTACTAATCTGCTTAAATCAATAAGTAATATAATTTTTAATAAAGCCAATGCTGAAAAGTTCTACCGTTGGATTATTAACAACTTGCAAATAACTGAAAAAATTTTAAAAAATAAAGGTTTGCAATATCAGCTGTTATGACTCAAAATCTCTATACATGTCTTCCACTAAAAAAAAAATCTATGAAAGAACTTCTAGAAATTTCCCCCTGAAATGCTTACTATACTAGATTTACAAAAATGGAAAGATTGTATCTATTTTTCCCTTTTCAATAGCTTTATCAAGCATGCAAACGTACTTTACCTGCAAACTAATGGTATTCCAGTGGAAAATTCTTACTCGACGCACTTATATAAATTCCATTTATTTTCTAAAGAGTACAAGTTTTTTAAAAACCTTTCAGGGGATGATTTCAAGAAATTTGCCCATACATTCAGGTATATAGATGATATAATTAAATTCAACAATGCTAATCTTACTGAAATTAGCAACATCTACCCCAACTGCGGAATTAGAAAGTCCTCCACGAAAGGCATCCCTCCCCTTAGGCAGATAGCCCTAGTGTGCTTTGCCATAATTAAATACACCACACCACACTACCCCAACTGCGTAAAACTAAAGACCAATAAGTACAGTCAAGAATTGTGGATTATCTGAATCTAAGCATTTATAACCTAAAAGAAACTTTTTGATAAAAGCGAAAAATTCAATTTTTCTACAGTTTAATTTCTAAACTGGAAAGTACGAACATCTCTAAAAATATTATCGCAAACACAATTTTAATCAAATCGCCCGAATCAAAAAAAAAGTATGCGCCAAACTGAACAACAGCAACAAAAGATTCTTCATACTAAAATTTTATTAGAAAATTAAATTCCAATTAATTTCATTAACAGGCAACTTTAAAAAGCTGGAGCGGTCAGCATCGTATATAATATTTAAGGTGATGAATTTTTTCTCTGAAAGTTCAAATAAGAAAAAGGAGGATGAATTAAAAAGGTTTATAGCATAATTTGTAAATATGTATTTACTGTACAAATTTCTTGACTATACTTTTATTAACTCTGGACCTTTTATACTCTAAGTCGTCATGATAAGCCCATTGCGTGAAAATTTTATTCTTTTCTTACATTTACCCTTTATTTCCTTTTCTTTATTGCATTAATTTAATGGTTTCCAATTTTAAATTTTTTAAAAAATATCTTACTATCGTTTTCCTTTTAGGAGATTTAAAATTTTTCATCGCCATTCGTATCGCCGATAATATTACCATCAAACAGGTAATTGTTTAGCGTCACTTTTCCCATTCTGAATCCCTTTCCTTTGTTCTTCAAACAGACAAGTTAAAAAATTTATGTTCTCAGTTAATCCTATAAATATGACTTTCGCTACATTTTGTAAATTATTTCGTTTTAATTTTAATATTAGCAAATGTATACATCACTTTTGCTTTATCAGGCAAATTGAATTTATTTCATTTAAATTTGTTTTCATGCATTATTGAAAGGAAAGCGGCTGTATAGAGGAGGCATTCGAATTTTCCGGATGAACTATAATAATTTAAGAATTTAAAACGGTTCACCATGATAGAAAAAAGATAATAATTAGAAGAATGAGAATGTGATTAGTGGACAGACAAAGAATGCAAATGATTTTAATTTTAATGCAATACAGCGATGGAAAATACCGGATGATACGCTTCTTGCGATATAGGAAGCAACCCGTTCGAGGTACAAATGAAAGCGTTCGGAGAGTCTCCTGAAGGAAAGATCTGATGCTTTCAAGCATCCTCCACAGTTCGTCATCCGGAGCAGATAAAGCAAACGATGACCAAATACATTTCAGAATGTTCGACAGTGTACAATCTAGGGACCTCCGCGCAAAAGTGGGAGTTCCGAGAGGTGAATTGTTTATAATATGAATCTAATGTAATGTATATTAATATTTAATTAGATATTCTAAATTTTAGATCTTTTGTCTAATTTTATTCTGTAATATCTTTACATTTTTGTATTGAGAAAATCCTGAGTAGGGAGGGAAGCTTTTATTTATCACTTTTAAATATGATGAAAATAAATATAATTAATTTGCTTAATTTGCGTATTGCTGTGAATAAACTTAGTAATGTACTACATAGTGATTAATCTAAAATTAGATACAAATATTAACTGATTAGCCCTTGATTGAATCTTAATAGTAGTTTTTCAAATGTCTACTGTAAACTGAGATAATTCAGGTCCAATCAAATTTAATAAGAAAAATTATGCTGGAAATTGCTACGGATGGAGAAATGAAATTTGGACAGTTAAATTCCATTAATTCCGCAAATTTTCTCAATTTATGTGAAACACTTTCTTAGTGAAAGGTTAAAAATTAAAAATAGTGGAATTCAGCAGTGGATGGCTACTAACTAGACGATGTGACCAAACAATCGGAGCGTGAACGTCAATGCATTTTTTAGCCGCTGACGGTTGGGTAACGACTATAGCAATTCAACCGTATAGCACGTCAACCGTTATGCCGTCACTGTGTCTCTGATACGATTCAGAGATTATATACTACTTCAATATGCCGCTTTGACTTCACTCTCCTATCCGGAACACCGGACATCGGTTCTTATCACCAAGCATACGAATCAGTGTAGCTTTAGTGAGTTTAACCAAGTTAATGAATATATTTTAGTGAATTTTATGCTTGCTATACTGTTTTGTTTTCACATTTAGTTTCTTATTACGATGACAGCAAATATGCATAATGCAATAAGTAACGTTTCAAATTATGCAGTAGTGCCTTCAAACTGAGGGCCCCCTAAGCAATTTAATGCAGCCTGCGAAAACATTTAAGTATGATATAAGGTATTTTCTTCCTCCTTTCTTCATGCCTTCGTGGTGTAACAGCAGCTCACTCGGCGCGTATTCGAGAGGTCAAGATTCGAGTACCGGGCGAGAGCATTGCTCGTTTTTCACGTCTCCCGCATCAAAAATTCCTAATGATTCTACAATGTATTTGCTGCAAATACAGTATTGCAAAGATTTCAAGATTTTAGTTATTTGAGGTCTGAGTTTATATTATTTTTATTTCCCTTTAATTTAAGTACAGCGTGATATAAATCTTATCCAAGGATGTTAAGATACATATTCTATTAACTTTTATTCGTATTTCTCAAAAATTTAATAAGCTCAGTTAGAATTTTTATACTAAGAAAAACTGCTTTGTTTGGGAATACATTTATATATGAACAGCTTTTTTTCACAGCTGAAAATTAATAAGAAAATAACCCGATTGAGTGATGAGCATCTACAATATGTGATGAAGATAATTCTAGTAATTTCTCTCCAAGGCTACTAATGTTACCCGAA